AAAACAAACGTAGGAAAAATATTCTTCAAACTCTTACACAAACACTTCCCAGAATCAAGCACCTTACACAAGATATTCAACAAAAAAACACAGTAAAAATCAGCTACAGCTGCACCGAGAGCATGGCACAAATAATAAAAAAAGCACAATAGGAAAATTATCAACAAACCACACGAACAAATTAAACCCACGTGCAACTGCAGAATAAAGAACGAATGTCCCTTAAACGGAAATTGTTTACAAAACAACGTAATATACCAAGCCACGATAAAATCACCAGATAATGAAGAAAAAAGTATACATAGGAGTAACTGAAGGACCCTGGAAGCAAAAGAAATTATACACACAAAAACATCGTTCACAAATAGTAAATATGCGAACAGTACTATGCTTTCTAAGTATATTTGGGAAATAAAAAACAAAACGCACATCACACCAAAAATATCTTGGAAGATAAAGAAAAATTCATCAGCCTACAACAAAAACTTGCAAACTTTGCTTGGAGGAAAAAATCATTACTTTCCCCGACCAAAATAAATTATTAAATAAAAGATCCGAGCTCATCTCAAAATGCAGGCATGAAAATAAATTTTTACTACGTAACCTAAAAAATGAAAAACGGAAAAAATAAAATAAAAACAAACAAATACACTAATAAAAAATAAAAAATAAATAAAATAAATAAATAAATACTATGTTGCTTAAAAACCGAAAACCGAAAAGAGAAAATATACAAATAAATTGACCTAAATTCATCCAAGTAAATAAATAGACAAACCAATCCCAAATTAAAAACTGTTCCCGCCAAAAAATAATAGTTAGAATGAACTACAACAACCAACCCCAAAATTGAACAAATAGCTTTAATTAAATTCTCAAACCAAAACAAAACTGTTAAATACGTGATATAAACAAATTTTTACTACGTTAATAAATAAATAAATAAATAAATAAAATAAGAAACAAAAAAATAAAAACGAGCAATATAATTTGACCCAAATAAATAAACAAAGCGACTTCCGGTAAAAATAACCGCCATAATAGAATACCCACAATGCACCACTAACCCGTATATATATAAATAGCCGAGAAAAATAACAGCATATGTGGCCTGACGATTGCATATAGCATGAAACATACTGTCGCCTCTAGGTGTTGACTTCTATGTTCACTTTTATATATATATATATATATATATATATATATATATATATATTTATTTTATTCAAATATTATAACATAGTAATGTTATAACCATTTTGTTTCAACATTCTGGTGTCATCTAGTGATGGTTTTGATTGCGAAATAAAAAGTTTTTTATTGTTATAACTTTGGTTATATATATATATATATATATATATATATATATATATATATATATATATATATATATATATATATATATGGTGTCCCAAAATAATGTATACACTCTTTAAATATTAATAGTTGTTGTTGAGTGGTCAAAGCACATCGGATAAATCAATTTTTCCTGTAAAGGGAAACGCAGGTTCGAATGCAGCCGCTGGTCGCATTTTCTTTAATAATATTTCTCGAATGTTCAGGCCGTTAGACAAAATAAAATGCTGTTTAAAATAAACGTAGCGGCTACGCAAACAGTGTATCCACTAAAATAACGTTTAAATTAATGGAATTAATTTCTTCACAGTAGAAGTCCTTATATTCGAACTTGAAGGAGTTCTGATAATGTGGCATGTGGAATATAAATATAACTTAAAACACAAGAACTTCTCGCAATATATGAAAAATGATTTATTGTCTTACGAAAGTAAATATTAATTTGCAATGTTTAATGCTCAATAAATTTTATTTTCAATTGTCTTTCTTATTTCTTTTCTCATTTCGTTTACTTTTCGCGGTTCTAGTTTCTACAAATGACGTGCACTTGTACATTCTGTATTATTGAACAAATATTTTTTCTCCATGAATCTGATGACGTCATCAATAGTTTTCTCTACTGATTTTCACCATTATCGAAAGAATTTGATTCTTCCTTTATTTCCTGACAATCCAAATCATTTTGAAAGGATTCTACCGTTGAATTCTTTTGTAATTCATTAGCCTTCTTCATTTATTCATTCTTTTAAGTCATCCAAAGCGAGAATATTCAGTGAATCATCTTTAAGCACAAGCTTTTGTGTTTTGATCAGATTCAGCAATCTTCGTTTGTTAATTTGCAAATTTAACGAATTAGGAGTTTCGTCCAGTTTTTCAATAATTTCTAATTTCTGACGTAACTTGAAAGAATTTCTTTTCCTTTTTCTTTCAGTTAAAGTTTCTTCTGTGTGAGACATTATGAGTTGAGAAATGTTAAATAACTAACAATTATCTGCAAAGAAGAAAAAAAAGAAAAATATTAGAATGTAACATATGCCTACGCTATCTAAATGGCAACACTGTAAGTTCGGATTGTGACGAAGTTCGGATTGTGACGAAGTTCGGATAAGAGAACTTCTACTGTACATCATTTCTTTTTTTGCTCAAATGAATGCTTGATTTAGTGAACAATACAAGTAAATGCGGGCGTGTTCAAATAAAGATATTCTTTCGAGAGAAGCTCTAGGAATTACACCTATAAATTTGATTAATCTTTCGGCAACTTTGGACACTTAAATACAGTTTTTTAGTCAGTTTAAATCTACTTCCACTATTTACGTCGTTCGGACTCTTGTCCATATCTTTATTGCCATATTCACGATGTTTCGGCCGTTGTACGCTCTGGCCTGCTTCAATGACCGAAACGTTGTGAATATGGCAATAAAGATGAGGACAACAGTCCGAACCAAGTAAATAGTGTAAATAGTTACAGAAATATAGACTTATAGATATAAAATGAAATGAATGTAGACTTATAGATATAAAATGAATGTAGACTTATAGATATAAAATGAAAGTCACAGAATTGTATGTAGATAGATAGATAGATAGATAGATAGATAGATAGATAGATAGATAGATAGATGAGCAGATTTGATTACACAGAATCTACCAGCCAAGTCGATGCCAAAATTGATTACTAATCAGAAATTATATCGAGTGAACACCTACAAGTTAATTTTGGACCATTTTCAGTGATGACTATTTGGAATGATATATTAGTAATTCTACTTTGAAATGGGAAACCACGTGATCGTAAAATTCACGAATGAATGAGAATGTCTTGTTGCTTACCTAGAAAGCGTTAGGTGATAAGACCGGAAATTGAAAAACATCTCTGATATGAAAGAAATCGCCCCCAAAAAGTGACTGGAAATCACAATTTACTTCGTCACATAATTTATTCTAACAGGGCAGTCAAAAGAGAGTCACGTCTAAAAGCACTCGTCATACAACAAAGAAAAAATTGGTTAATTCAACCATAGCGGTTCAGCACGTATCTTTTACCTGTTTGCACTTCTCCTCAAAATTTAGTTTCAATCGGTCAATTTGTGGCTGTTTTAGAAGGAAGTCACCAAATTTAATAAATAGATAGATAGATAGATAGATAGATAGATAGATAGATAGATAGATATGAGCAGAGTTCATTATACAGAATCTGTCAGCAAATAACAAAGAAAAAATTAGACAATTCAAATGTTAAATATTTACCCGCGCATAGCGATTTTTTTATACAAGTCTTCCTTCCACACTATTCCAACAATGGTTCGGACTATTCTCCTCATCTTTATTGTCATATTCACATATTCTATGCTCCAGCCTTCTTCAAGTGATATACGTTGGAATTTCGAACCGAAGTCTTAATTTGATTCACTTGGGTAGATTATTCTAGTTCCACATGCCATGCCTTTTCTGCACATCTCAGTTTTCAGTTACTTCCCTTTAGTAATTCAACTCTTCAAGTTTTCTTTCTTTTTTTTCTTTTTTTTTTTTTTTGTCACCTCTGTTGTGAAAAGAGGAGATCGCCATCATCCGTGGGATGAAGTTAAATAATAGACAGAAAATGTCACTGGAAAATACGATTTTAGGCCACAAAAATCTCTTAAGCCGGCTAAGAATAGACATGAATAAATATTGGAACCAATAATACAGAGAGCAAAGAGAAAAACAACAATAACAAAAATTGATATATGAGCTGTGGTAAAAAAAAAAGTGAGGTTTATAAGTGCCAAGAATGCACTAGTATGACCAAGTGAATAAAAGGGTTGGTAATGCAAAAGTGATTTAACCCAAAGAGTTGTGAGTTCAATACCTAACTACAGCAGAGGTGAACAAAAAACAACTTATGTTACGAAAGGAAATTAACTGAAACTGAGATATCCAAAAAAGGAGCGAGAACATTCCAAGTGGATTAAATAAAGGGTTCGGTTCGAAATTCCAATGAATCTCATCTGAAAAGGGCCGGAGCGTACAACAGCCGAAAAATAGTGCATATGACAATAAAGATGAGGACAAAAGTTACAATACAATTTCAGAAATATAAACAAATGCTGAAATCTTCCTTCATTATTAATTTTGACCAAAATTTCCTGCATCCAAATTTCACTGGGTTTTTATCACAATTTTAAGAATATCTCTTAATTTCAGGAATGAGGAGTTATCATTATTTACACTAATTACATTCGGACTATGTTGTTTCGACCGTTGTACGCTCCGGCCTTTATCAGGTCTATATCGATCCGGATAAGCTAAAGAGAATTCCGAAATCTTCATTATTATTATTATTTTATTTCTAGTTTTATTTCATCTTTTTAATTTTGTTTTTTAAGCTTCATTTAAAAATAAAACTAATATTCTTTCTGACAAATCGATCTAATTTTATTTTACGCAATCTAACATTCTTGAATTGTTTAAATTGTTGAATATAGAATTTCATTTAATAATAGTGGTGTTAATTTCTATTGTGATGCCCCCCCCTCTGTTTAAATGTGTGTCTATCTTTATTGTTTATTTAACCTTAATAACTTTATTATCCTTTGTTATCTTTTTTTTTTCTTTTCAGTTCGATCTTTGTCAGTAAAATTGAATCAATCACACACGGAAGAATGACGGCCATTTACAATTCAACAATTGATGTCGACGAAGACACTGGAATAACCTCGCCAAATTTTCTGCAGCGTTTTGCCCGTCAGTACTGGTCAATCCATGGTTACCTGAGTTTGGTAGTCTGCACATTTGGCATACTTACCAACATCGTCAACATCATCATTCTTACCGAGAAGAGCATGCGCACTTCTATCAATTGCATCTTGACAGGGATCGCCATATCGGACATTCTGACGATGATGTCATACATGCCATTTGCCATTCATTTTTATATTGAGCATAGTCTGGTGGTTACCCCCGAAAAATACACGTATGGGTGGGTAACGTTTCTTGTTTTCCACATCAACATTACCACAACAACGCACACGATATCGATTTGGTTGGCTGTTTTTCTCGCTATCCTCAGGTATACGTTCATATTGTCGAAGGGACGAGGTGAAAGAATACCAAATACCCAGAACACTACGCTCATTGTATGTCTTATCTATGCTCTTTCGTCGATTTTCAACATCCCACATTATCTGACCAATCGCGTAGTTGTGCGACCACAAGACGAATTCAACGAAACAATCTATGGCTTGGGTGACGTGGGCATTGGCAATAAAGATTCACGACCGACAACATTGGCACTTATTAACTTCTGGTCTTATGCTATTATCGGGAAGCTTTTACCTTGCGTCTTAATCACAATATTCGGTGGATTACTTCTTCACACACTACAAGAAACTAAAGAGCGCACGAAAATTCTACGAAGTTCGTCTGTCGAGCAAAGAGTACGTCAACATTCTCGGACAACGCGCATGTTATTGGCCATCATTGTATTGTTTCTGATTACGGAACTGCCACAAGGAATCCTCATTGTCATCAGTGGAATCGTCGATGGCTTCTTCCTTAACGTCTACATTCTACTCGGTGACGTCATGGATATTATTGCATTGGTCAACAACGCTATCAACTTCTTGTTTTACTGCACTATGAGTCAGCACTTCCGGAACAGTTTCGTTGACTTGCTGCGTTCGTCACTCAAGGCGTGTTTCCGCTACTCGTTCCGGTCGGACGAAATCGGAAAATCAACTTCGGCATCAATGGTCTGAATTGAGGAAGCAATTCTGAGAAAAAATAGCAAGAGAATAGAGTTGGCGGGAGAATAATATATCAAGGGAGATAATTCATAATTCAACAGAGTTATATCAAGTGGGATAATTCCCAAACAAGTCGGGTTTTTTATCAGCACACTCAATGTTGATTGGTTTTGTTTGCAAAGTCCATTAATGTATAAATCCACGTTTATACGATTGGACCGATAAAGACAAATTTCTTGGCAAACTATCAGAACGAATCACACATTTTAAAAAATCCATATCTACTTTTACGAAACATGTATTTTAATGTAAATAGAATATGTAAATGCAATACGAAATTACATATTTTCTCATGAAAGGATTTTCCTACGGTTTCATACCGAAATTTGATTCAGAAACTCTACGGTGTTCACTCATTGAAAAATCTATGTAACTTGCCCGGCAAAAAAAAAAAAAAAAAAAAAAAAGAATTCTTTGTATTCATTTTTATATTCATGCTTTTATTGATTTCATTCTGATCCGCATCGATGCTTTAAAATTGAATGATATCCTTCAATTAACACGAGAGAAGGTTAACCAACTTAACCACTTCTCGGCGGCTAGTATGTCTGCGTGCTTGTAAAATCTACTCTCAGCGGCTGACATTAATACTAGTATTAGCGGACACATTTTATTAGGAACAACGATGCCGATATATATATATATATATATATATATATATATATATATATATATATATATATATGTATATATATATATATATATATATATGTGTGTGTATTAATTAGTACATATACGCGTACCTACGTTTATATGATATGATATATATATATATATATATATATATATATATATATATATATATATATATATATATATATATATCATGTTTCATTAAAGGTACTGAGATTATTTAAATTTTCTTGCGTTATTATAACTCTAGATACATGCATAAAATCCATGCATTCACTTCAAATAAAAATCATCCTTGATAATGGCTAAAAGAATAACTGAAAACGCTTGGACATACTAAACATTCAGAGAATTTTTACATGTTTTATGTCCAGAAAAGAACAAAATCAAGCGGACACAAGAAAAATTAAATAAAAAAAATTAATCGCAGGACCTTACCCGTCTTCAGTGAGACTTGTATAAAAGAGGGATTGCTGTCCAAATACATTATATATATATATATATATATATATATATATATATATATATATATAAATGAAAAACAAAAACCGTTGGTGGAACCAAGAGGAAAATTAGCCAAAATCTAAAATTCTTATCCCGACGAAGTCTTGAATAAAACCGACAATACTGGGAAAAAATGAAAAGGATAAAAAAAACTTACCTACTCAGTAAAGTACTGAAAGCCTAGATTGCTTAGACTGAGTCAAAAATACTTACCAATGTTAAATCCTATGAAACGATGGTTCTAGCCGTAACTCGAGTTACACGCTCACGCAATCTTGAGATGTTTTGGACGATCTCAAGTTGTCTATGTCTATATATATATATATATATATATATATATATATATATATATATATATATATCGTGAACACCTTTAATTGAATTGATTATATATATATATATATATATATATATATATATATATAAAATACAAAAACAAATTAAAAATTAAATTTTCTTGAAAAATAATGGTAAATTCTTTATCATCATGATTTTTGTACCTGAATCCGTGAATCTCGAAGATAAAATAAAGAAATTTAACGTATGTTTGAATATAGAGATGATGCGATAAAAATTTGACATGTTTCACTTTATTCAGCTTCATCAGAAAATTTTGGGAATGAGGTGATATGTTGTTTCTGAAAATATTTCGGTGTTTCGAATTTTGTTCTGTTTTCATTGGTCGAATAGACAATGACGTTGTTTATATTTTGTGATGTTAATGTGTGTGTGTGCGTGTGTGTGTGCGTATGAATTAGTGTCTGTTTTTGTGTATCTCTCGTTGTGTCTGTGTGTGTGTATATGTCTAATTGCTTAAGATATTAATGAAAAGAAATGGCAAATATGTGTGTATGAAAGTTTTTGTTGGAAGTACGGTGTGCTTGTTGAAAAGAATCAGTAAATGGATTGACTGAGAATTAAAAGTATGTTATTAATTTCGAAGAAAATAGAATTTGTAATTACAGTGCGCGAGACATTAAGACATACAACAGGAGTCATGTCATAAAAACAATCCCAATAATGATGATAACATTTACTCCTAAATTAATACCATAAATTTAATCCTCAAGTAATACACGCAGTGATTCTATTGGCAGTCACCATACGCCCAACTAGAAATTCAATGCCTACACATATACATATATTCTCCCATTTATTCTCGCAACCGTCTTTAGGAATTAGACATAAACACATACACACATAAACGCTACAAAATATGAACATGTGATATCTACCCGACCAATGAAACAAATCGTATTGAATTCAAAACATTCACTCCAAAATTCTGGAAAGACTGCAATAAAGCGAAACGTCAAATTTTTTAACGTTTTCCTATTTGTTCCTTATTTAATCATTCTGTCTGATTTTAGCGTTTTTTTTTAAATTTCAACACACACACACATTATAGAAACTTAAATTATAACAAAATCTATGTTTGTCATCTTGACATCCAGCACAATAATTACAAAGAGCTGCTTGCCTCAAAATCTTCCAGAGGGACCCTGGTCAATCATTTTTTATGGCGAAATGCAAAATTTATTATTCTTATATATACATAGATGTATGGAGACCAATTCTAAACTCGAAGATCAATCTTGTGGTAACATCGATTCTCACAGTGCCCGATTATGATAACCTTACGCCAAGCTAAATTATCTTAGAACAATAATTGACAGGCTAGTCTAATTAAGTCGCGCGCGCGCGCACACACACACATACACACACATATACATATATAATGATAAATCAAGAAAAAACCTTAAAAATAATTATCGGTTTCTTCAGAAGAGATGAATATAAAAACATTCATATTTGTTGATTTATCATTATATTTCTATGTAACTAACATTGAGTTCACCTTGGATTAATGTCCGCCTTGGAATTATCCAACCAATTACAAATTGGTATTATATATATATATATATAAATGTGTGTGTGTGTGTTTGAGTGTGTGTGTGTGTGTGTGTGTTTGAGTGAGTGTGTGTGTGAGTTTCATTGAATTGTATAGACATATTGTTTCAACTTATTTTTATAACTATCCTTTACATTTGACTAATCAATTTCTTGATGTTAATATGAAATTTATCAAGGAAGGCGCCGTAGTTTTTTTTTTGTTTTCTTTTTTTTCTTCAGGAGCAAATTACAAATATAAACTTATTGTAACTGCGATAAAATCTCCATTTCGGTGTAAAGGTGATTTAAAATAATAATAATAATAATAATAAAAAGCACGTGCAAACGCGCTCTGTAATTACTTAAAATTTATCCGTAGCAGCTACAAAAATAAAAAAAAATCACCATTAAAACAGAATGTAGATTTTATCGTAGTTAAATTTGTCTTTGTAATTTACCCCTGAAGATGATCTTGAAAAAGTTCGAAAATAATTGGTTAAAAAAAAACTATGACTTCTTCATTGAAGAATTTCATCTTAACATCCAGAAACCACTGGAAAGAACTGGAAAGAACTGGAAAGAACTGGAAAGGATCAGTATAAAAATAAATAGACACAATATATCTATATTATTCAATGAAACATGTTTCAATGAAGATATGCTACCCATACACACACACACACACATATTCTTGAAGTTGCATAATTTAAAACTTATTTTAAATAATTTTTACGTAATCTACAAAACAAACACAACAGCTATTTTCTTTAATATCTTTAATATAAATATTTGTCTCTATTTCTGAGATTATATATATTGTAATCATTTACACTCTTTACATCGTTCTGGCTGCCATATTCACGATGTTTCGGTCGTTTCGTGCCTTCTTCAGGTGATTGGAATTTCTAACTGAACCCTCAAAATAAAGGGTTCGAAATTCCAGTCACCCGAAGAAGGCCGGGGCGTACAACGGTTAAAACGTCGTGAATATGCCAACGAAGTTGAGAACATCAGGTTGAACTTTAATATTAAATCCTATAATTTTATTAAACATATCTAAGTAGGAGTAAAGGAAGCAAAAAAAACAAATTCTCATTTAATAATTGAACTCAGGCTAAATTAGATATTAAACTTTTCTGTCTAGCACTATTTTCCATCGGTTTATTCACAAAGGCGATCAAATATTGAAGACGTCTTAGCAGAAACAATCAGATATCCAATTAAATCGATAAATACGGCTATTATCTAACAGCCCATTGCTCATATACTGACTTTGTTCTAAATAGCGTGATCAGTTATTGCTATGATAAACCAATCTTCGTAACTATCTACATTTACTTACATTTCTCTAAATTGTCACACGCCACAGCCCAAGAAAATCTTTAATAAACACTTATATATTAATAATGTGTTCTTTTTTTTGTGAGGAAATGCTGAAAAATATTCTTTGCAGACGATACTATGTATATAAATGTATTTATTTCTGTTTTATTAAATGTATTTTCTGAAACAAAAAACTCCGCCATTTTTATACTTGTCCAAGTATCCATTGACAATTCTGCATTTCTGTATTGAAAACTGCCCAATGAAATATCGTATGAAAGTGGGTGGAGTCTTTCCGTAATCAAAACTGTCCAATGAAATATCAAAGCAGGTCATAATTAACAGAACAATGTGCGTACATCTATCGACATAATCATCATAATTATTCCATTTAATTTGTTTGCGTTCAAACCGGACGGAACTGTAAATATATTTGTTTAAAAAGAAAAACTTATCCAATGAAAATTCGAAAATCTGAATATATTCATGCATTTTACTTAATGAACCCTCTTCAATGACGCCTTTCAAAATATATGAACATCAGCCGCGCGCAAATTCCCCACAACGCATTGTCCATGCAACGATGTATATATGCGCTT